ATTTTGGCATTTGGAGGATATGTTAGTTTATGCATGCAAAAGCCTCTAAACAACGACTTGAAATGATGTCATGTTGCAAATCATCAGTAGGAGCTGCAATTACCAATAATTAGTATATTTTGGCATTTGGAGGATATATTAGTTTATGCATGCAAAAGCCTCTAAACAACGACTTGAAATGATGTCATTAATGAACAATTTTAATATATATTTTGGCCTTCAACCTACATTGAACTTGATTGACCTAACAAAGGTCTTGCAATCAGTTCACAAGCAGGAACATCGAGAGCCAGCACAGGCCCCGGGGCAGACATCCTCGCCAAGGCCCCCTTTCTCTCTCTTTTTTAACATTTTTAAGAACTTATTAAAAATATCCTAAATTAGGACAACAACGAGCTCATAAACAATTAATAAATATAGAAGCAGCCGTTTTTAGCTCATAGTATAAACGTAAAAACGTTAATAACGTAACAACAATTATCTATTAAATCTATAAAGTAACAAATATATATTAATTATTATTCAAATTATTATTTCAATCATTCTCAATGTATCAAGCGTCTTTGTGCAAAGAAAAGTTAAAACTATGCTTTTTATGATTAAATGAAGATATAGCCTAAAGGTGTTTTTCGAGCTTTACGGCATAACTAGGTTTCATTCACCAGGGCCCCTGGGCAGTTTGCCCCTTGTTGGCGAGCCTGTTCACAAGGGGTATTGAATATCATTTCTTTAACCAAATATTATATGCATCGTTTTATTTCTTTTCTTGACGCAATACCCTGAGAGAATCTGGCCAATCCGTTTTATGAAAAGATCGCAAAGTAGGTTATTTTAGAAAATAATCGACATGATTACTTAAACATTTGAAGCCTTTAAAATATGAATCATTTGAATTTAATTATTATTTTATATAGATATTACATCACTGAGAATTATATAGTCTACTTGTTATTATAATGCCCCTAATGTACATAAAACATATTGATTAATATAATATTGTAACTGCAAATGTAAGTGAAATTCATACAAGCAACCATTAAGTAAATTTTAACTTCATTTTCCTATCCCGACAGAAGCATTAATTAGCGTTTTGATGTAAGATGACGAAAATTTGATTGTCTTGGGCATTCACGCAAACTACACAACAGTGAACTGCGCTAGTCGTCTATCATTTTGTACTAATAGGCTAGAGGAAAGGCTGCTAGTCAACAACACGCAGCGCCACGCTACTCTAGATCGAATAGTGAGATTTTACTGTCACAATTATGTTGCACCTACGGCCCCAAGGTGCAATGCATTTTTTTTTCGCCAGCGGGAGATGAGTCAAGAATCTTCGGACTCATAGTCCGAGCACGCTGACCACTAAGCCATACCTACGCTTTTTCTTAGGGTATTTGTATATATATATATTTTTTATATATGTAATACAGCTCCTTTTCTGACTGTGTACGTATTTGTATTTGTAATATCTTACACTATTATGCATTTGCTCGGTGGTGAGCCCAAATGTTCAAAGGGGGTTCTAATTTGTAAGATCAAAAGGCAAAACATATTGTGCGAAGTACAATCAGCGTGCAAAGCCTGCTAATGCTACGAGGAATCTTGGGGCATGTCCCAATAAAATTTGTAAAAGTAGGTGCTATGAGATTAAATCTGGAAGCAATTTTGCTCGAAATATAGCTTAAACAATTACATGGCTGTTCGCATAAAATCTACAAACATCCAATGAAAAGTCAGCAAATCATCATTTTGTTGTGATACTACATGGGGAGCTAGACTTAAATTAACATAAATATGTATGTTTTATTATAGTAAAGTACTGTACTATCTACATGCAGAGTAGTTATTAATTGTTAAATTATATTACTAATTTAAACAACTCTGTACAACAATAGTATATTAGCTATTTCAATCATTGGCTGTCATATGCATACATGTATGCACTGCTGAAATAACATGTTAGCATGCTTTATTCTTCTGGGGTGTTTTCCATAAATAACTGACATACATCATGTATAAAAGCTAGATTATTAAAGTGATGTTATCTCCCAGACTGCACTGTAATAATGGAGCAGAGAATGATAATTCGTCTTGTCAGTTGTGTTCTAATGTAACGGAACCAGCCTGTGTGGATTTTGACGAAAAACAAACAATTATTTAAAGCTCTGAATACAACTGTGAGAACTAATAGTGTCAAGAAAATTTGTACATGCGTTTGACTTCTTTTTTTATTATTATAAAACAAGCGGACTGTGTTGCTGTTTGTTTATTGTTGAAATTTATCGCCAACAAGTCATAGATGCTTACTGTAAATAATCCAGCCTATAAAACCTGAAAGTAGCAACACGGCTTCGGCTTCCAATTACAAGGTGTCAACAGAAGCCATTGCATGCGACTATTTCAGGCAAAAAAATGCTGTAACAAAATAAGCATAATTTTTTTACATCACAAAAATAGGGGGTTCGGCCGAACCCCCTGTGTACGTGCGTGGTTTTCTCAGTACTTTTATACGTATATGTAGCGAAAAACATTACTTATTGCATCTACTATAATTTTTATATACTGTATTTCGTTACCTTTTTACTAGTCCCCCGGTAGAACAGCAGTAGGTTTATGGACTCACAACGCTAAAATCCGGGGTTCGATTTCCCGCTGTGAACACAGCAGATAGATAAGAAATGATATTTTGATCCAATTTGGACACAGCAGATAGCCCAATGTAGCTTTGCCGATAACCACATAACCTTTTACTGATACTTCGTTTGTTTTTTGTTAAGCACAAACAAAGTTACACAATGAGCTATATGTGATCTGTCCACTGCCGGGTATCGAAATCCGATTTTTAGCATTATAGGTCTACGTACTTACCGTTGAACTACCGAGGAACTGGTGAGAGCTTTTATTAGTACCGGAAAGGATCATGCGAGAAATATTGAAATTTTTCTTCTCCAGGCAAATTATTACTGCTTTATTACTGCTCATATAATAAATAACCAGTGATGTTTACGAAAAGTTGGCGTTAATTTATACTCAAACGTGCAAATCTCTCCTGGTATTTCTGTACATATTTCCGGATAAATTCCTGATATACTCATACATACTTGCAATATGAACTTTGGAAAGCTTTGTTTTCAGATCTACTCTAATTAAAAAGCTCGAACCATGTGTTTTGGTTATTCCTGAAAGAAAAGAAAAAACGAGGTGTTATGTAGGCAGTTGGTAACTGTAATGGGTGTCTTTGTCTTTCGCGCGATAATGTACACAACATTCAAGGTCGTACTTCGCATCAGACAAATCATGCTTATAAGCATGTTATCATACCACTCAAATGTTATCACCATAGATATCTAAGTGTGAAAATCTCAGGCCTTTGTCAGCTATATAAATTCTTCTAGCTTTATCAGTGGCCATAACACTGGGACAATATATATATATATATTATGGTTCATCGCAAAAACTATAATTTTGAATATTTACTCATAAAAAGAGTTATAGAAATACTATATATCTTTTATGCATGATTACCACATGAATTTCTAAGCATTTCTATGCGTTCTCACTAGCTTCTTGTACTAGGTTTGGTGGATATTAATCTATCTTTTTCTTCTTGAAGCTTCAGTAAAATCTTTTAATGAAGACAAAGACAGTTTTTAGGACAATAACATTTAAGTGAGTCGAATTTTCTTGACTATAAATATTTCATCAAAAGCAAATTTTACAGCAAGGTGTGTGTTAAGAAATACTAGTTCAACTGAAGTAAAATTTGACTGATATTTTGAGAAAATAACACTTAGAAAACATTGTGAAATAAAAAGAAACGAGCAGTAGAAAAATGTATCTTTAAAACGTGATATAAATGAGAGTATACAATCAAATAATTTATCTTACAATAAAATTAACAATAAGACAAACCAGTTTATACATAAAATAATACAAACGGAAAATAAAATACTAATATATGTGTCGTAACTTAGGATACATGAAATACTATTTGATAATTATGTGCCATTCTAGAAAGTAGAACAGCTTTTATTGGAAAGAGTCCAATAGATTATTTAAATCAGATAGTCTTTCGTGATTAGAAGACTTTGGAGTTCGAGAAATGGAGATCCAGTTATAATGATGGTAAAGTCTTTCTTGACATTTTGTGTCCTCTGGTTTCTCTATGTGATCTAACTGCTGAGTGACATTAGGTACTCTCAGAATTTAGTTTAAATGTTGTTTTTGAAATAGCTCGACTCATATAAATAAAATGTTTGTTTTCAAACCATCGCCGTTGTCATCATAAGATCATTAGTACACGTCGTTTTCTCCCTTATGAATTTAATTGTAAAATGTTGCTTAATGATTAAAACAAATTACTGTTACTCCTGTTGTGGTAATGAAACAAAAATCATATACTGATGTTTATTATATGCAAATATATATATAAACTACCACGCACTAATAAACTACATAACGTTACCACACATCAATTTATTGGGCACAATTTATGTTAGTTACATGATGTTTAAAATTCTCTGAACGTATATATCGAAACCTGATATCATCTAGGTTTTCGACAAAACAAAAACACGGTCTTACGCTTTTTTAGAGTTTTAGTCTAAAATTTATTTTCCCATAAAAATTATATAACACTGTAGCAGTGGTATAAACAGAAACGTATAACCGAGGTGCTTTTTTTTTTTGGAATAAAAAAGAAATGTCCCCCTCAGGAAATATATGCAATTTTTACTGAAAAGTGTGCGTTTTGATGGAAGATGCGGTTGTTTTAATAACTTTTTGAATATTTTTGTACACATATGGTTGCAATTTAGGAGTTAATATCGCATCCGCCCTACTTTCTTGCTTACGCGCATGTGTGATAGGAATTTGTTGTCTATTGGTTATATGTTAAAAAATGCGGCTTTACATGATGTCACTTATGTTATCGTCCAGGGTGTGTTTTGGCAATATCCAAAGAATATTAGCTTCTTAGTCTACAACGAGTTTTTTTTTTTTACCTTCTAACTTAAGTACAAATGTTACTAACTTTATTAAGAATAACCAATAATAAAAATCATAAATTTAAAACATTAAATTCTGAAATAATTTTCCAATTTACTCTTTTTTTTTGCATAAGTCATTTATGATTTATGTACTTCACTATCATAAATTAGATAACACTATCTAAAATAGTATTTTGCGTCATCTGAGGTGGAGCTTTTGGAGTTCGTTTTCAAGAGGTAATAAAACTGTGATGGTATGTTAATTGAAGAATAACGTGTCCTGTATTAGACGTCCGAAAAAACGAAAAGAAAACCATAATTAGGAATGCTCGCGTATAAAAGAAAAATCTAAGAAAAGAATATCAGAGCTTAAATTGGAGAATAAGGTAAAGATATGTGTATACTTTTTACTTTTGTTTACACGTTTTAGTGTTTACTTTTAGTGTAACTGTAAGTTAACTACATTGTTCTACTTCTACTACTACTCTAATTTACAGAAATGTAGGAGTAGGACGAATTCATGAAGTTATTGAATAACTAATACATTATTCAGTTTGTTGACAATACTAGTAGTAGCACTGTTTAATAAATTTGCAATCTTACACAAGACAACTGACAGGTTTACTTTTTTTTTGTCATGATGTCAGAAAAACACGTAGTTCAATAAGTCTTGATACAAAATGATAACAACCGTATAAGTATAACCTTCAAAAGGTGGACCTTTCTTCCTTTTTTTTTTCTCTTTGGACTTGGAGCTTGATTTTTAGTGATTGGTACAGCACTGATACTTATAGCGATAGTACACTAGTACTGTGCAGTTTGTATTAAAATTCAAACTCTATACTAATACTATTAGTATTACTAATTAACATGATGTTCAGGGACAACAAGGGACCTATTGATCCATCTTGGCTGTCCCATCCTTTAAACTAAACTAAAACTATCAAATAAATAAATTTGAAAAATACATAAAATAAAATCAGAAATCTTAAAGCCAGCCCTTATCATTCATATACTTATCAAGCTTTCTCTTAAACTCACTTAAATTTACTGCCTCCACAGTATCTGAAGGCAACCCATTCCAAAGGCCAACCACCTTGTTATAAAACTAAAACTGTCTTAGCTAAAGATAACTCCTACCTTGCCAAAATTTATATTTGTGTCCCCTAGTCCTACTATTCTCACTGTTAGGTATAAAAACGATGATGCATCAACACTATCAGTTACCTTTACAATTTTAAGTACCTCAATCAGATCCCCTCTAACTCTTCTTTTTTCAAGAGAAAACAGTTTCAGAGATCTTAATCTCTCATATGACAACCCCTCCATCCAAGGCACCATTTTAGTAATTCTACTCTGAACCCTTTCCAACAATTCAATGTCCTTCCTAAGGTAAGGAGCCCAAGACTGAACACTATTCCAAATGTGGTCTAATCAGTGACCTATACAATTAAATTATAACCTCTTTAGACTTGTATTTTTTTAGATACAACCTAAAATCCTATTTGCCCTACCACTAACAACAGCACACTGCTTGGATGGTGTAAGAGACTGATCAACCATAACACCAAGATCCCTTTCTTTCATGACACTGTTAAGGTTATTCCCATCCAAATTATACTTATAATTTGAATTATGATAACCCATATGCATTATCTTCCATATATTATAATTAAAACTCATCAGCCATTTATTTTCCCAACTCACTAAATGATCTAAATCTTTTTCATACATTTCATGAAATTTTAAAGGGACAAAAAGGAGCTTATTAGCCCATCAAGGATGTTTCTTTCAGCTCCCAACTACTTGTGTATTCATCCAACCTTTTCTTGAACTCAGTTAAATATACTGCCTCCACCACCCTTGAAGACAGCTCATTCCAATAACCAACCACCCTGTTTGAAAAGTAATACTGTCTAAATTGCAGACGACTCCTGTGCTGCCAAAATTTGAATTTATGACCCCTTGTCCTATTGTTTTCATTGCTAAACACAAAAACATTTGATGGGTCTATATTATCAATAACCTTAAACACCTGAATCAAATCCCCTCTGACACTTCAGAGGAAACAAGTTTAGAGATTTTGGTCTCTTCTCATAGAAAAATCTCACCATTCCATGTATCATCCTAGTGGTTCTTCTCTAATTCTTCTCCAACAATCAATGTCCTTCTTGAGGAAGGAAGCCCAAAACTGTACACAGTACTCTAAATGAGTTCTCTTTGATACATTTAGCCACTCCACTTGGCACCTTTTCAAAGGCTTTCTGAAAGTCCAGATATACCAAATCTACACCCTTACCCTCAACTACATAAGCAGTAACCTTTTCAAAGAATGTTAAAAGATTTATAAGGCAAGATTTTCCCTTAGTGAAACATGTTGACTATCCAATAATATTCTAAACTTTGTTCAATGACTTTGCAAAGTATCTTTTATCAGATTTTCCAAAACATTTCCCACCACTGATTTAAGACTAATAGGCCTATAATTACTGGGATAATTTTTATTAGCTTTAAAATGCTCGAGGAAATATGATCTGGTCCAGAAGCCTTATCATTTTTTAAACTTCCCAATAATTTCTTAACAAGCTCATTATTAATGCAATCATATTGTCCAACTTTGTTTCCATCTATTATCTGTTCAAGATGAGGAATACTTCTTAAGTCTTTATTTGTAAAAATTGAAGAAGAAGCTGAATTTGATAACCCAGCCATCTCATAATCATCAGATAAAAGCCTTCTTTTATCTGCACTGTTCTTAATTTTTACATTTTCAGCCAACCCATTTTCATACATCCTTTTTATGTCATAATGTCTTGTTTGACCAACTTTCTTGATCTTCTATAATATTCTAAATTTCCTGTCATACCAGTCAATTTAAATTTTTTAATCTTGTGATGCTTTTCTTTAATGTTATCTTTTATACCCTTTGTAAGTCAACCTGTTTTTTTCTTGCAGCCACCCATAGTAAATGTTTATCTTGAATATTAAAAATTTATCCTTAAAAATTTTTCACATTTGATCAATGTCTCCAAATAACTCAGCTGCCTAATTCACAACAAATAATTCCTGTCACATTCCTTCAAAATTAGTTTTTTTGAAACTTGTAACCAAAATATCATTATTTCTAATCTTCATATGTAGCAAAACATCAAACCTAATAGAGCAATGATAACTTTGACTCAGATGTTCCCAAATTTCTGCCCTCCTAACAATTTCTATATTAGAAGTTAATAAATCTAAAATAGCATTGTTTTTAATGGGTTCCTTGACCGATTGGTGAAGAAAATCATTTTGAACAGCTCCCAAAAACCTTTCTTCCTCATGGTTTGATTCTAGTATTTTCCAATCTCTATGTTTGAAATTAAAATTGTCTATAATTATGTCCTCATTACATCTGAAATCTTAATCTTATTGTAAAGATTCTGAATAATGTCATCAGTATCATCTGGTGGTCTGTAACAAATTCCCACTAAAAGCCTTTTCTCTTTTTATCTGTTAATAAAAACCCAAATGGATTCAATCCTCTTGCTATTATCTTTGATATCCTCAACTTCAATAGGATATAACTAACCTTTTACATATAAAGCCATAGCTCTTTAGTACTCTATCCCTATTAAGTAATCTATAACCTTGTATTTCAAAGAAATTTCTGTCTTCTAAATCATCTACATTTCAACATGTTTCAGTTATTCCCATTATATTAAAATCCTCTATTGTATGGTATGAAATGTGTTTACACATTCCTTTATTATTTATGGGTTTGATAGAAAACAGTAATTTTTTTTTTCTGAAATGTAAACTCAAAATAAAATGTGTAGTTGTATATGTAATTTTAAAGGATTCCAAGAATTTGTCAAACAACTTCACAGTTAATACTAAATAGTAATGCATTGGGTCTTAATACAAAGTGAGACAGAGTCAATAGCATATTTGAATTTCATTTTCCGATATAAAAATACACTATCTTTGTGAGCTTGACTTGGATGAAAAAGTTTTGAATGTTCTTAACTTTCCTCATTTTAAAGAATTATCTGAATTACAGTAATAAAACTTCAAGCACTGTCCTGATTTCACAAGACCACTTCTAGCTAAATAGATTACTTAACTTATAATGGTATAAAATTTAAGTAATTGCATCACTGTATGTGTAGTTCTTTAAAGCTCCAGGTTCAAAGAACACAAGTAAATTTTTTTAAGCTATTCATAGTTAAAGTTTTTAAGCCATATTAGTATACTTGTTTCCAGTATTTCAAATGAATTCATACAGTTTTCTTCTATTAATGATAAGGCCCTAGCAGTATACTCTTTTAAAGTAACACAAGGACACTTATCATGTTGTTATAATTTCAGTTGTTCCTTTCTAAATATCTATACCTCAGGTATATCTTTTTATATTTGTTGGTACTGAAACTTGTTTTGTAGGTTATTCTCCTGTAATTAATACTGTTCAGATTCTTCTGAATAAAAGACTTGTTCTAAATTGTTCCAGCCCTTAATAGAATCTTAGTATTGTCTACAAATATAAGATAATAATGCTTAAGAAACTATATGTATCTAAATCACTGACATAATGTAACTTGTAAACAATTAGGGTCCTAAAATCCTATCCTTATGGTCCACACTATTTATGTTCTCCCAGAACTTTACCACAGAATCCACATGTATCCAATTTGTTAATTAACTATTTAAATACAACCATAATGTAATGTATGTGTGTGTGTGTGTCTGCATATATAATGTATGTATGCATGTTAAATCAGTTGTAGTGACATCAACCAAAAAAAAAAAGCTTTAACAAGAAGTTTCAGTGACTTTTAATGTTTCATTTCTTAAATATCCATCTTTTAAATAACTTTTGATAATAGAATCAAATGATTCTATTCAAAAGAATGGAAAGCTAAAAAGGAGAAATAAAAGTATGATTGAAAAGAAACCATTTGGTTAAATGTATTTATTCACATATAACTTGGAATATTTTGAGATGAAGCAACCCAAGATAAAGTTCAGCAGTTGATGTACTTGTCTGTTTTATTAATTGTTAAACAACCAGAAATGTGATGATTATCGAAGAATGTTAAAGCAACAAATTAACAAAAACTGTTTTAGTAGGTTATGTTGGCAGGTGTTGGAACTTTGAAAGATTTATTTGTGGGTTTTAAGATATGGTATTACAAGAAAATCTCTGAATGACTAACCTTTGGTTAGTGTTACCAGTTGTGATAAATTTAATGGGTTGGAATATGATAGTTACTGAATGTTGAACAAGTTTCAAGTAAAAGGTGTGATAGTACAACTAACAATTAATTAAACCTGAGAGAGATGCAGACTTGTTCTTAGTTATTTTGGTTAGGGATATAAAGTTGTGGAATGGTTTATCCTACTGGTACGGTGTATGCTTTTAGTTTGAATTATTTTGTTAAAATTTTATTGCTTTAGTATATGGATATGTAGAACTTCATTTGATTTAGTTTATATGCTTTAGTTGGCTGTTGTAGTGAATAATGCAAAATCGTGATTGGCCACATGACCTTCTTTCACATTGCTTATTTGTTATTTTTGTATAAAAATAGTGTTTCCAAAACAGAACAGTGGAGCCACATTATTTTTCCTACTTTATTTGATACCTAAAAAAATGTTTATAAAAATTTTGTCTACTGTTTTTTATTTTGTAATGTAATAATAATCAAGATTACAAATGATTTTCAGATAAGATTCACACACACTCTTTGAAGAACAAGTAATTACTAAAACTATGGCAACTGGTATTGTGATATCCTTAAAACAAAGAAGGTTATAGCAAGACTATTGAATATTTATCAACCATTGCAAAGAAATTCTGAAGCTTGGGAATGCTGGATCCCAATTCAAAATTCTTTAAAAACTTTTCAATTATAAATATTGCTGCTAAAGGCTTTTCCATACATGCACAACCTCCATCTAAAAGATGAGATTGGAGATTGCAAAGCCAAAATGTGTATTATAAAATTTAACATTTTTTTCATGTTTGGCTGTCATATAGAATTTTAAATTGCTGGGTGACTAATTTTTTACAGTATTTTTTCTGAGCTCCATTGATAAAACAGTTTTTAAATACATTTAAACATACTTACTCCTTATGTGTCTTAAGTTTTAGGAAAGTACAAAATATTTTCCCTGAAGTTTTTACATAAGAAACTTTTATATATATATATAGCTGTAAATGGAAATTATAAATAAAAATTCTGGGCCTTCAAGTATTTTCTGGACATTAGGCTGGTGAAAAAAAAACTGTTCAACTACAGAAAACTGGTTAGTTCTTTGCCATAACATTGTACTGTTCTCCTTGTATAACTTTTTTATTTATATATTAATTAAAATTTGAGCATAATCCTATTCAAAGATAGAAATTATATGCATAATCAAGTCTGTTGTGAGAATAACTTTTTTATTTTATTTTAATGACATACCTAAAAATAAAAATTGTTTGTCATCTACAAATGGATGTCATTGTTACACCAAGGAATGTGTGGACTCATCCACTAGATGGCTGTCTACTCATATGTTCTTTGAAAATATGAGACTTCAATATGTACTTCATGACATGATTTAGCCAAGTGTAACATAACTAGCTTTAATGATAACTTTGTGACAGTAAGTCAAGCTGAGAATTAGGAGTAGTTGCAGATTTGTGAAAATGTAACAAATTGAAATTGAGGCTGACATTATATTGGCAAAATTTTAACTATCACTTCTTAACTGGTAACTTTTTTTTTCTCATATAGGAGCATCATTACATTTCAGTAAGAACTGACATCATAGACCATATATAAGACTTGATATCCTTTAATAAATGTGTTTGGTTAAAGAAATGTGAAGTCTATGAATGCTATGTAAAAGGTGATATGCTTCAGATTCTATAAAGGAATTCTTTATTACCCTATATGACAAAATATTGCCCAAAATACAAGTTTTATGTAAAGCAAATTTACAATGTTTTTTCTTGTTTTGGTTTTTTTGTTGTTGTTGAGATTTTTAGGTTTTGCTTTGCAAGTGAGTATGTAATGTAGGAATAACCTATACATGCAGATGACTATCACCTAGAACATAAAAATATATCCCAATAATACTTAAAATGTATTACCTGGATTTTACTTTAGATTTTGATTATGTTGGCCAAACTACCTGTTGTATGATAGGGCAATTTTCTTTATAGTTCTTTATATTTCTTATCAATAAATGTGTGTTTAAAGCTTGTGTTTCATGATCTAGATTTTTTTTTCTTTTATCTTCAGTTACTCATGTGTCTTGTTTCCCACTAGCATCATCATGGGACAGCAGGAAAGTGTGTTTACTGAAGAAGAACTTGAAGATTATCAGGTTTGTAGCTTCTGTAAATTTTTAATATTTTCTTTGTGTGTTATTTGTAATTAAGAAGAAAAATAACAGATTTTCACTTTTTTCTCCCATCTTAAGTAGACTGATAGAAAATTTAAAATTCCGTGATTCTTTTTAAATGAAAAGGAAGTATAATTAAGACAAGAGTATCTTGGGAAAATGTATTTTATAATTCCCTACTAATTCACAAGTTTTCTTCTAAACTGACTTGTTTACTCTTCTGTAGTTTAATTATGGAAAATAAAGGGTAATGATAGAGAAAACTTTATTTATAAAATGTTGTATCTTAAAAACTATGAGTCCTAAGGCAGTGATTCCCAAAGTGGGAGCTGTGGCACCCCTGGGGGCCATGAACGCTTTTCTGGGGGGCTGCCAAAAAGTGGGCCAAAAACAAAGATCCTGAATTAATTTTAATTCTGAATAAACAATAAGTTGATAAAAAACTACATTTAATTAATTAAATGATAGAGTATGTCAAAAGAAGATGTTATTGCTTTTACTACGGCACTGTTTTTCAATCACAATGCTAAAATTATAGGTTTTTTTGGGGGGGGCTTAGACTTTTTTATTCACATCAAGGTTCAGACTAAAATAGTTTGGGAGCCACTGCCCTAGGGGAGTAAAATTTACCCAGATGTATACATTGATAATCTTAAATGTTTTATTTGGACTTTACATCAGGGATTTCAAAAACTGTTGTAGTAGTTGTTCAGTATGCTTTCTTTCATTCTCAGCCATCACATCAAGCCTATCCTTATAAACTACAGTAGTGCAATAATATCTGGTTAGTGTTAATTGATTCTTGCAGTAACTTTCACATGAAAATGTATTGTATTCAAATCATCTTATTGTGGGAAATGGGGAAGAAAGAAGAGAAATAAAAGGAGTGCTAGATAACCAACAAAGTGATTTTAGGTATGCAATGTAATATGACCTTGAAACACCCTCTTCAAAGTCCTAACTTTCGTAAATAACACTTATGGTTCTCAATGTGCTTTTGGTGAACTTGTAATCACCCCTACCTAGAACAAGCAGCTTTGTGACTGCGAATACATAATCAAGTCAGTAACTCTAATAGGAAGGACAGTATCAGAGGCCAAGGCATGGCACTGTTGTTTATGTGCACATGTGGTGACACCTGGCGGTAATGATACTCAAATCATGAAACAACAACTTTCTCCCATTTCCACCAATAGAACAGAAACAATTGATTTGGCTGAGAAAGCAGAGCTATATTTATTGTAAAAGTCAAAGTTTAAAGGAGTGTGAAAACATACTGTTTGATTAATCGTGTATGTGTGATCATCAGTACAGTGAAACATCAGGTAGGATTAGCATGCCATTAATAGGGAACATCAGTGGTCACCTACAAGACGTGGCCACTAGCATTCAATATATGGTAGTGGCCTCACTTTGATTGACAGGTCTCAATTGAACAGCAGCAGGTGAGAGCTGGCATGGGTGGCTGCAATACTGAGTTCAGAGAGACCACTTGGGACTAGGAAACAGGTGATCACAAGCCAAATTGACTGCAATATGACCAAGCCAAAATGGCTGTAATTAAGGGTTGATTGCTATATCGTGTTGACCGGTAAGTGGTTCTGGACTGTACTCATGTAAAAAATTTTGTTTTATTTGGGAGATTGTTTAAAAGTAGCTCTTTAATTTATTTTAGAATGCATATACATGTACATATAAGCTTTCTTTAAAATAAATCACACGTGTAATTTTTTCATTTTGTTTACAGTCTAAGGTTTCAGTCAAAATGCTGTTGCATTCCTATAAATGTTATGATAAGTTATACCTTATCTTATATTGTAAATATGTGATTATATAAACAAATTTCCTGATACTCCACCACCATATACAGCACTTAGTATTTCTAATTTGTAGTCTAGTAGTTCATAGTGTGGACTGGGTTCTCTTGAGCCACAACTTAGTTCCAACAATAATAAATAAATCTTGCATACTAATTATTTGTAAATTTTCTATGGTAGCATTCATTTTAATTGTTGAAATACTCATTTTTTAATTATTATAATTCTAATTTCTTGAAATACTTCGTGTATATGTATTGCTACTTGTGAACAATATCAAATTTAGTAGAACTTGTAAGAGAATCTATGTAACATTAAAAACATGAAAAAACTGTAAATGAGTTGTATATTTTTTTCAAAACTTTACTTTATGAAGTATATTTCCTTTCCCCCAGTGAGCAGTTGACTAATATAAATGAATAATCTTTAGTTTTTGATAAGAGACCAGTTATTGAATATATCTGGCAATTTTAATTTCTGTTTTCTTATTATCTGGAAGAATGCCATCATTGTTGCCAGCTTACTCATTTTAAGACACGTACACTGACAAATAAATAAACAAGTAAAATAGTTCTAGATTCTCTATCAACTTACTAATTAACATTGTCATACTGGTACACACAAAGATCCAATGCTATTTACTGCTTAGACTGGAAACCCTAACCATAGCAATCAGCTGTCTCAGTTAGTTTTGTTTGCTTATACTTTTTTTCTGGCTGTACTGCTAAGCAGTATGCTTTTTAACCTGTTTATATATGTTACATGACTATAAATTCAGTTTACACAAATCACAGTCCTTGAAATTAGAAAATTAAATCCACAGCAAAAAAAAATTAAAAAATCTGTTGTGAGTGTATTAACCCTTTGACTTCCTGTACACACTTTAAATTCCTTTGTATGCATGTCACAAAAAGTGTTACCGAGTTACATTCAAAGTTTTATATTATCCAAGTTATTATCCCTTTATTTTGAAAGAAACCTCTGAAACAAACGATTAAATCTGCAGTTTTGTTGTCATGTGACGTGTGTTGAGTTAAAATATCTGAGCTTTGGTTTCTTCTGTTTCTATTCAACTTAGTCTTAGTACATCTACAGCAGTCTAGACGAGCTGTGCAAGATCGAGTTCTAAACTTAAATTTCACATTAAAATGGACTAACATTCTAAGAAGGAGATTTCTTTCTCCCCTCTAATAGATGACATGCTCACATTCCAAAGTAATCTGTTGCTAAGCAACAGTCTTTTCTTGACTTTTATTGCATGCTTTTAACCAAGAGAAAGAGCAGATTTCTCGGTCTAATCTCAAGCTTACCAGGAAACATAAGTGAAAAGAAAAGTGAACTGCCGCTAAGTCCATTGTTGAGGTCAGTGTCCATGGTGCTTAGGAATGTTCTTGCCTTATACACGTTAGTTTGAAAGCCACTTAATTTGTATTTATGTCTTACTTTTATGTTTTAGGTAATTATGAATCATTTGTGTTTTAAAGCTCATATTTGAAAGGTTTAATGATTTTTTAATATTATTTTATGCCTTGCCTGAATCAAAAAGTTTTTCCTAAAATGGTGAATGCAAGCTATATTTTGCTGGAGGTTAAACTGTCTCTGCTGATGATAACATTATATCATCCCCGGGACACCCATTGAAGTGTAACGACAAATAATAAAAGATAAACAATTGGAGAGGAAAATTAACATTAAAAATAAAAAATTTGTAACAAGGTAAATGCTTGAAATTTCACATATGACCCAGAGAAGCTATTTTAAGATTATTCAACAAAGAGGTAAAAGGTATGTATGTATTTAAAGTTCTTAATTTTAAACAGTCATTGCACTATATGGTGATGATAATAGTTAGAGTTACTGATATGGTAGGGAACACGGAAAATAAAATATAAACGTGTACCTTAAAAAACTTTTGGTATTCATTTAGGAGGCTCCAGAAATTATGCAAGTGAAATGTAAAAACTTTAAGATTAAAAAAAAGTATTTTTATACTTAACGTGAAAATCACCTTTCAGGTGAGCTATTCAGAGTCCAAGTGCAAATAACTATATTAAATAACGAAATTTTATTAGAAATAGTTGAAGAAATCAAAATAAAATATTTCATTTTTCTGAAACCACATCTTTTACAAAAGTTCTTGTCAAATTTCAAACAATTTCATCCACCAGTTTTATTTTGGAATGAAATATGATGAAAGCAACTTTACCTACTAAATGTTTTTGCTGGTAGCCATAGGGTAAATCAGGATAACACCACTGCAAATCTATTATGATGAGATTCTTCCACTTAGACACTTAATAAATGAGCAGGGTACAGGGCAATCTTCTTTGCCAAAGTAAAAACCAACAAACAAACTTAACATTAGATTTTTTTGTTGATAAGATATTTTTTGTTGAAATCATAGAATTAGAGGTAGCTTTCTAAATCAAATCTCAGGCATCAACCTTATATTCCACTTGTACAATACTGAGATTCCAGTGCTATGTATGACACTACTAGATTAATACTGAAGATTTAGTAAAGAAAAGCTATTTAATTCTTGGTTATTAGTCCATGAAAAGCTCTTGTTTGCTTCAGATATATATATATATATATATGTAAGTTTTCACAACACTAGTTGGTTTTATTCCAGGGTTTGTTTCCCTCAATATCATTTGACTTTTTTCTTTATTTTACCCCTTTTCAGTTCTTTTTTTTCTTTCATTGATAGTTGCCTCTCTCTCTTCTCCTCATCTTCACTCTGAAGCTTCAGAGTTTGTCTAATCGCCCTTGATTTAAAGTTTCAGTTGATGATAGTCTCCAACCTGTTTGTTTTAATTTATACCCTGTGCTTATGGTATCTAGCAGCTGCTTCCATTTGATTGGGTGTTATTATTCCAGACATTCATTTGTCATATGTAGGTTTATGTTGGCTTAAACTTCATACTTGCAGAAAATAAAAATATTGGTGATGTTTTTTTTTACATGTACTTGGCTTTTTACATATATATTTCTGTTCTTCACCCATCTTTCATTACATAATATATCTTTGTGGTAACTGCTTAAATTCTATTGAAATATTTTTCAGGTTTAGGTTGTGAAAACCTGCTTTTACCATAAGTTTGCCTTATCTTTAATGTGTTCTCATTTCCTAGGCATATGCACAAATCTAATTACACATACTGTTTTTTGCATGCATGAAAAGCCATATTCAGTCACACATCATATTACAATTTCAAATATTCCCGAGGAAAGCAGAAACGTGTTATCAATGAAAATGTGTTGAGCAGCATAGTAATAGATCTTTAATTCATTGTGGTAGTTTGTAAACCAAATATAGAAGGTGGCACGTAAAGGCAATAAAATTGAATTGGAAACATTCCAAAGTTATGGGAAATTGGAGGTTATTGAATACAAAACCACAGAAGGAGGGAGAACATACACAAACTTCATGTGGTGTAAAGCCTGATGCTAGAAACATGGATGCCATACTAAGAAATCCAATGATAATAGGAAGCATCAAGACATCTGCATAAGCTTTCATTGATATTTTGATAAAGCCAATAACTCTGCTAGTATAGTACAACTACTTGTAAGTGTTTTGCTATTTCACTGTCAGAAAGCATTACTTTAACCATCATTTGTGCACGTGAATCACTGCACATATGTGGCTCTTCTCACTAAAAGGCCCATTTCTCCTGTAAATAATTTCTTATGCCCCCTTTTAATCCGATCATCAAACTTTATCTTTGACACCTTGCTAAAAGTAAATTGTTTATTTTTTATCATTTTTATTTTTGTCAGTTAGTAACTTAACCATTGAACTTTAACATTTTATCAGTGTAGTTTTTTTTCTTTTGTATATCTATTTATTTGATTACTTGATAAACTGAGTGAATCCGTTACCAGTAAAATGAAAACACATACAGACACTTGTATTTGCTGTAAAAGAACTGATGTTTTTGTTTTGTTATACAGGAGCTGACATATTTAAAGTTAGATACAACACGTTTCTAGTATTTGTTACATATAAGCTGACATTATATTGTTTTGTTTCTCATGTACAGGTAGTTAATACAAAAAATATCTGTGTGTTTGCCATGAAGATCCTGAATTTCTTTTGGTTGTTAGACATGACACTGTTACCTACATGAATATACTTTCCTTTTTTTACATGTGTTAAGAAATGTTGAACATTTTATTGTATTTGTTTAGTGAAAGCTGATATTTTTATTTTTGTTATATAGGAACTGACATTTTTCTTGAAGAAGGAAATTTTGCAGTAAGTTACATTTTTTACCATACATTAGATAACATAATCAAGCAATACTATTACAATAAGTTGTAGTAACTTTTTAAACACATTTGAAATACTTAAAGATTATAGTATTGGAGCAATATTTTTTGACACAATGAAATTAGTTGAAAGCCTTTGACCTTGGTATGTAGATGGAGTATATTTTAATTTCTCTGTGGGTAGGGTCTGCTTTGATATATATCTATGGTGGGTTGTTTATGTCTTTATGAGTAAGGTTTGTTTTGATATATATGCATGGGTCACTTGTTTTTATACGATTGTATAGATGGCATGCTTTGACATGTCAGTTTGGTTTGGATGTGTTTTGATATGATAGTAAAGTAAGAGTTTAATTTGTCTTTGTATCAAAAGTGAGATGTACATTGTTGCTCAAGGCTAGGATGTATTGATGGGATGCATTTCAGTATGGCTTTTTTGAATGAAAAACAGTATGATTTTGTGCATAAGATGTTTTTTGATATGGTTTTCTGCATGTGGGACATCATGGCTTCATGCTTTGGACTCAAAGTTGGATGGTTGCAAGTTTGAGACTGGACCACATAATGCTGTTGTGTCCTTGAACAATACACTTTACCCCACTCATACCTGGACTGGCATCCTGTCCAGAGGAACTTTGTCACCATTCTCATCTGCTTGTGCTACTTGAAACTATAGTTGATTATTAATAGTTATTAATAGATTTTACACCTAACCATTTTGCTAGAAACATTCTAATCAAATGAAGAATACTATTGTAGGCAGCAGTATGTAAGTCTGATTTGATTGCATGCTTAAAATACAATTATATCTAAGTTAGTTTTTAAAGTCTATTTAAAATGATAACATTTTATGTTACATACATTGCTTGATTAATGATTATGTCTCTTGATAAAAAATACAGCAATACGAATGATGGAAATGACATGTGATACTTTTCCCAATCATCATTAACACCCTTCCATAATACACTGATAGTAATAATAATTAATCCAATTATGTTTACCAATACACTAAACAGCTAATTTTTCATCTTTATTTTAACACAATCTTTCAATTACTTCTGATGAGTGTGATTGGTATTGACATACTCACGTTGGAGAGATTGAACTGAGCATGCTGATTAGCTTATGCCTATATTATGCATTCCAAGTTGGAATAATATGGATAAGCATATAATGTTTCCATGACTTTACTGGTTTAGGTCTGAGGTTTATAAACCAAGTGTGATGATACTGTTTGTTGCCTTTAACATGGTTGGTGACTGACTGAGCTGAAAAATATAAAGATGACTCAAATTTCTCATTACAGAAAACAAAAAGCAAAGTTGAATTTTTGAAAGAAAAGTTTAAAGGCACTTTACCTGGTCATGTGACCTATAGGTGTGCTAGTGGGATGAACTTTTTCTCCATCTGTGCTAGTGGAAAGTTTTTGTATGATTACATTAATTGGATGCCATTTTGCTATAGCTGTGTGGATGGGATTGTTTTAATATTGAAATATTAGTGGGATGTATTATGATATGCATGAGTGGGTAAAATGTGTTTTAAAATTGCTAAGTATTGGGGTCTCGCATGTATTTTAAATTATTTAAAGTTTGGATGTGTCTTGATGTTATACAGGTTGTAGGTGCATTGCTAAAGCTGGAATATATTTTTTTTTATAGGGTTTTGGATAGAATTGTGTTTTGATATGGCTTTGTATGTGTAGGTATAATGTGTTATGTGGCTGTGTGGGTGAGATTTTTTTTTATTACTGTGCAGATGAGATGTGTTGGGTATTTCTTAGTAGTTGTGATATATTTTGATATGATTCTATGATAGTTTTAATGTAATTTTTATGTGACTGTGTGGTAAGGTTTGTTACAGCATGGTTTGTGGAGAATGTGTTTATATACTTGTTAGTAGGATGTATTGTGATATGATTTGCTGAATGGAATATGTTTTTATTTTTTGATATCACAATTTTGAAGGATGTTTTGTGATATGAATGTGTGAATGGATTTGTTTTTTATGTGAATGTGTTGGTATGGTTTGTGGGAAGTGTGTTTTTATAAGAGTTGATGGAAGATTGTATGATGATATGACTGGGTGGGTGGAATAAGCTTATGATATGACATTACTGAAAGAATTTTTATATGGATGTTTTAAAATGGAATATGTTTTGATATCACTTCATGGAAGGAATATATTTTGATATGGCTCTGTAAGTGGAATGTTTTTGAATTGCTGTATTATGCTTTGATGTCCTGGGTATAGCTCAGAATGTTATACTTTCACTTAACCCTATTGTCATGGGTCAAAGGCCATGTCATTGTGTTTGTTGACTTGCATTCAAAATTTTATTGAACTACTATTTTATGGATTTATGTCAATAAGTTTGGTATCAAACTGTAGATTATAATTCAAATTATGGTATTATAATTATTCAATTTCTTAATTTAAAAGTAGTTAAACATCAATTTTTATTTGTCACGTGGTATGTTGAATGAAGCACTGGTTCAAATTAGATGTTTGTGATGTCCAAATACAAAGTCTACAGTTTTGTATGAATTAGGAACTCAAGTTACCGATATTAACAAGCTAGAATATAAAATAATGACCTCCCACTCACCTCTTTCCATTTTTGGAAACGGTCCCTTATATACACTTCTATATATGACATGAATAACCAATTGGAAACTCAGAATGTCCCCTTAGTGGCTTTCTCAGCCATTTTAACATGTATGGACACAATCTTTCTTTCAAACAAAGATTTCAAGGAGGTAGATTGTGTCTTTAGTCTGCTCAAAATTTCATACTTGTTAAGACTGAAATACAGTTTAGTTACTAAGCTTGATAAATTATAGTGGAATTCTGTGGCATTGATATAGTAATTTATGATTTTTTGGTATTCAACTGTATATATAAAACCTAAAAAAATTATTTCATTTCATATCCTCCACATGCAAAATTTCCAAAGGCTTAATAAACTATGTCAAGCAGCAAACGAGTACAAAGGTCGTAACTAGAAGAGATAATTGTTTGCTTTACTTCTTTATTTACTGTTCTATGTGTTAAAAATAAGTTGAAGAACTTATTTCTAAATATCAATAATCTATATACATATGTAATGTATAATAATTGAAATGTGACTGTATTTTACAAAATACTAGTATACTAAAACACAGCCAAGACAGGTCACTTTTATATTATTGGATACGTTAATATGAGTACATGTTCACTGCATCGTTGTAACTTTTGTATTGTTAGCCAGGCATGATTGGAAGGTCAATGTAATAAAAATAATAATGTATATAAATATAACGTTATGAGATTTAAGCTATTTAGACTAAACATTTGTGTTTTCATGTTATAATTTGTACTCATTCTAGAACAAAAAAAGCATAATTTATATTTATTTCCTATTTTTTTATGGAGGTTACGAGGTCGGTCAAATTGACAGACTCCATGTAGTTAGAGTAGAGAAAATAACAGGCAAGATATGTTTTCATGATAAAAAACATTTGAAATGTATTTAGTAGGTTTTAGGGTTAAGCAAGGATATTTGTTAATAAAGTTATATGAGTGGAATCTTTTTTCTTTTTCATATATGACTGTAGTTGTGATTGTAATTTATGTAGTTTTTTCGGTGAAATAAGACTATGTGAAGGGGTATATTTTCATATGGCTATATAATTGCAATGCATTTTGAAATGATCATGTAGCTAAGGTTTATTTTCATATGGTTGTTTAGGGGAGATATGTTTTACAATGGATTTTGGGGCAATCTGTTTTCTAATATAGTAGCATGTATTTAAAACAGTTTCAGTTTAATCTGTGTGTATACAATTTGGATTTGTTGTGTGATATGCTTTCATTTGGCTATGTGGGTAAGACATGTTTTAATATAATTATGTATTTGGGTGTTGATATGGTTCTAGAAAGGGTGTGTGTCCAAGATGGTGCACTTGAAGATATATGGCTGTATAAAGGCTGAATGTAAGGTTAGTATGATGGTTAATAGTAAATTTTAATATTTTTTTATGCTACAAAGCTGTGTGTTAGTTAATGTTATATTAACAATTCTGAAAAATATTTTGTTTCTTAGTTGCTATAAACGCTTTGAAATGTTGGCACCTGAAGCTGTATCCAAGAACAGAAATGTTAGATTACCAATGGCTACAGTCTTGACACTTCCAGAACTCCAGGTGAGATTATTGGAGCAGATATCATGATTTCACTGAAAAATTTCTGGAACACTGAGATTATTCATTTTTACATTATATCAATATTTAAAGATTGATGGTGCTCAATAACTTTTCAGAACCTCACTGTTTATCACAGCTTAATTCCTCTAGTCATTGTTGCTGTTTTTTTACATACCCAAAACTATGCATTGGTAATTATTAAGCTATGAATGTTAAAAACCTGTAAAAATCAGAGCTGTTTTTATTGGATCTCATGTCATAATGCTGCATAACTATTGACATTGTTTGTGATTTTTTTCTGGATCATAAACACTAATTTCTGTATAATAGTGCTGTTTGTGGGCTTTCCATAATTCCAGATATAGTCATTTGCATTCCAGCCTTAGTTATTATTAAACTATTGAAACTTTCTCTTTAAATTTCCAGAACATTGGCTAATTTAATTTGTTCTTGCTTCTTAACTTTGTTAATACATTGATTCTTTTTTTTATGTAGATGTATCAAAAACTTCTGGTTAGGTGTGTGGATTTTCTTTCTTTGATTTTGTTATATATTTATGCTGTTTGTGGATGTATCCAGAACCTCTGATGATATTACTAACTTTCCAGAACATTAAATGATGTTATTAGTTTCTTTAGTATGTGCAAAAAGGATGTGGGGCAGTAAATATGGGCTTTGATGTACAGCTGATTATGTGCAAGCTGAAGACACACTGATATATAGTTGCATTTGCTTTAAAACTTGTTAATGATGTCCAGTTGTGAAACACCCGAAAGACATGGATGTGAATATGGTTTGCAATAAGTAACTTTTTCTTACCTTTAGGTGATGATCAGAATTCATAAAGTGTAAAACATTGCTTTTGTCACTACTATTATATAACAAGTGCTAATAATTGAGTGTTTGGAGAGTTTATAATAAGTAGCTATCTTCACCTTTGATGATGATCACAAATCACACCATTGCTTTTGATGACAGGTGCTAAGTTAGTGTTTAGATATAACTACTGATCAAAAAAGCCTTTTAAGTACCTACAGTTGATCTACTTCTTTGTAACACTTTTTGTTTGACAAGGCTTATTTCATTTTGAAAACAACAAAATTTTATGTGCAGGTGTGACAAAACACAAACTTTATTCTGTAAATCTAAGAGGCTGTTAATTGTTATACAGTCATAAGAAAATTTTTGGCATAAGTTTTACAATTTTTACAGTATATATATGTGCTTGAGAGAGTAATGCTCTTCCGTTACATAGCTTTCTCAAATTTCCATATTAACTAAGGTGAATGTGCTTCATATAGCCTAGTGGTGTAACTTATGTCTTCAAAAGTAAAGTCTCATAAATTATGGCAAAGCATATTGTTTTTAATGTGTTTTGAAAGTAAATTAGTTAATAATACAAATATGCACTTTTTATAACCTGTTAGCTTTATAAAGCTTGTATTAGCTATATTCCTTTGAACTTTTCATTAAAAAAAAGTTTAAAACATGAACTACTTCATTTGCAGTGTAGGAACAATAATTTTATTATTAAGTTCCAACACTTTTGTTATGTGATATGCAGTGTTCTTGCACTTCATTGAACAGAAGTTTGTGTTCAGCTTTACATATGATGTACATGACTTTGCTAAAGTCAGAATAGAGAAGATGGGAAATAAAAAATATAAATATATGCAAAAAATAAAATAATTTTGCACAGTAATTTTTTTAAAAATGAACTTGTATTCAGTTGAGCTTATATTGAACTTTACATTAGCATTAATTATTAAAAATGTCATTTTCCAACAGACATTTTCATAATTTTATGCACACACTAGTTTTTTCTGTTAATACTCTTTACTGAATGTAGATAATTACAAAATCATAGATGGAGACATTTTGTTTTAACTATTTAATTTTGATATAAAAATTAGCACTGTTTTATTAAACATGTTATTAAACTTGGATGATTTTATTCACTTTCAGATAATTTTCTTAAGATTTCTTTTGGAAATTGTCAAAAATAAATAAATAAATAATGATGAATTATTAATTTTTCTCTTCAAACAGTAGTGTTCTTTATGCTTAATAATTTAAAAAGTAGCTATCTAGAAAGCTTAGTACTGCTATTGCTATTGATCTTTAAGCTCTGTTGCTGTTTGTGTTCATTAACAAAAATTAAAATTTTAAATGTCAGGAAATTGGCATTCATTTATTAATGATCCCTTTAAGTTTAAATTCTTACACATGTGTACTGCATGGCACAGTGCTTTTGAAAAGTTATAATGTATCGTAAGTAAATAAGATTTTCCTTAAATCTTAAATTTTACATACAGTGCTCCAGATAATTTTTCCCATGGTTAGTGGAGTATTGATCAAATTTTGTCTCTCAGTATCTGCCAAAGGTGATAATTAATTCAATATCACGGACAAGCATTTGTATGTAAAGCTGGTTTGTAAAACGTCAGTTTTATATTATTGGATACGGTAACATGAGTTCATGTATGCTGTATCATTGTAACTTCTGTATTGTTAGCCAGGCATGGCTGAAAGGTCAATATAATAAAAATAATAAATGTATAATGTTATGAGATTTGAGCTATTTAGTCTAAACATTTATGTTTTTGTGTTATAATTTGTTGTCATTCTAGGATGAAAGATGCATAATCTATTGACAAGCTGGTTTATGTAGCAATTGAATCATTTATAAGAATTTGAATGAGTCAGTATTATCTTATTGTGTATTTGGCCTCAAGAAAGTACTACAAAAACACACAGTTTATACATTTATATATATATTTTTTCTTAATTCTCTGTTTGTATGGCGGTGAAAGCCTTGCCATTCTTCTGTTCTTAGTACTCTCTCATATTTTATATTGCATGACTGGGTTCATATAACCAAATTCCTGGGCTAAACATTACAATCCTCATTAAACAGTATTTTTTCAGCCTTCATTGAGTATCTGAATTTTATCTTGAACTTATTTGGTAAAGAAAAGGCTCTTTCACAATCAGTGATTGTTACACAAAAGCATAAAACTCTTTGACACAACTTTTACATGTTGGGAAATTGATCAGCATGCAGTTTAATAACTCGTATACTATTGGTGAGTGTATTGGTTCCATAAAAATCTCCAAGATAAGTAATAGCCCCATCTCCTAGATCTTCATCAAAAATAGAAGACAAATATGTGTTGTTTGTTAAGAGAAATCTACAGATAAAATATACAATATTACTGAAAAAAACTTCAGAAGCTTACTTAGAAGGCTCTAGAGGTTATGCAAATAACATATGAAAACTTTAAAATAAAAATAAGTACACGTTATCCCTGTCATGAAATTCACATTTCCTACAGATACTTTATTTTTAAAAATCTGACTTTTTGTTTACGGCATGCTTTTTATGTTTACTGAAATATTACCAATTTTTGTGAAGATACAGATAGTAAATTTGGAATTATAGTAATTGTTAATTCTCCAATATGGACTCAGTTTATTGCATGAGCAACACTGCTGATGGTACATATGATACAAGCACTTTTAGGCTTACAGTTGAATAACAACAGTAAAACCAGTCTAAAACAAAGTTAAATTAGAAACAGAATGGGGGAAATAATGAAGTTTACAAACTATTAAAAACATTGATAAATGAGGGTATTATTGGTGGTTGTTATCAATTCTAAAATTTATCATCGATACATTGCTATCAGGATGATCATAATCACAATCTACTATTAGTATGATGTGTTGTTAGACTCCTAGTTGTTATTTGCTTTATTTTTAAGCATGATCCAAGCACTTATGTAGAAAAATAGCTCTTTTCATAGTGTGCAACCAGTAGGCACACCAATTCATGTTTTAGCATATCAGCGATAGTGCAAAAAATTAGACATAATTTATGTGGATACTCTAGCTATCGGTAGCGCATGCACACACACACACATATATAGGACCTTAATCTTGAAGGTGTGTTTGTGTGTGTATATATATATATACTTACTTTATTGTTATTTATTTTCTTTGATATTAACAAAAGAAAATTGAATAGGTAAATCCACGTAACAGTTAAACCTTCTGTAAAATATATTTAGTTATTGTGTATGTCACCACTAACTAAAACATTGTTGTGAAGGTCAACCCTTTTCGTGACCGGATCTGTAAAGTATTTTCTTCTGCTGGCGATGGTACAATGACATTTGAAGATTTCTTGGATATGATGTCCGTGTTCAGCGATGCTGCTCCAAGGTCTGTGAAAACAGAATATGCTTTCAGAATTTATGGTGAGTATTTAAACTTTTTTTTTTTAATTTCAACCAAACATATGTAGTTCATTATTATTTGTTGGCTTTGAATATTATAAGTTATTTTGCGGTCTGTTAAATTTATAGGTTAAATGTTTTCTATAACATATTTTCAAAATAATCTAATAACCTGAGTGACATGGAAATGCAAGCTTTCCTTCAATAGGTATGAATTAGGAATGGGGAGGAACTGTAACAGTACATTATTTGTGAGATCATGAGCATCAGTTGCAGCTCACCTTGACAACTGACAACTGTATAAGCTGAGGGCACATATCCTGTCATCCCTTATCTGTCCTTGTGCCTCACCATTCATTTTTACATCCCTCTTGGTTGTGGTGATTCAATCGCTCTGACATTTCAATTCCCCTCTTCCACTCAACTTGCAACTTTATACCAATAATTCCTTTCCAGTGAGGAGGGGAGAGTGGTTCTTTACTTCTCTACTCTCTTCAAGGTACTCCACTCCCTCTTCATCAACTTCTAGTTGTTTCTTACATCAACCACCCACTTGGCACCTGCTCTCTGGAACATATACCTTACCTGGTTTTTGGCAAAGGCCTACCTGTTTTGTCTGTTGCTTGTTACCAAGCACTGTTGTCCAAAGCATTCACCTCTAAGCATTATTAGTCTCAAAGTGGGTTCATTGGCATCAAATTTGAAATTATTCACTTCTTGTCTGTCCTTAATCTTTTTCTTTCACCCGTTTTCACCTTTTTTCTCCATTGTCTCTCTCACCCAGCCCCTCTTCCTGTCTGGTTTCTCTGTGTGGTTCTTTGGACTCTTATCTGTCCACTCATTTGTACTATTGACCTCCTGTGCATTGTATCTTTTATCCCCATAGACATAGTTTCTTCTTCTGCTCACTTTTGGTTGTTACTGTTTGGACATTCACTCCTTAGATGCCTCCTGGACTCTGTAATAAGGACTGGTTGATTTGTTCCCTGGCTGCTTCTTTCTTTTGAAGACTTGAGCTGTCTGGAGGGTTAATCAGATTTTTTATCTCTCCTTTCTATTTTCTCCTTATATGACTGTTCCAATCCTGATTGCCTTTTATGTCCAGTGTTGGTTGTCTATTGCTATCTGGCTTGGAATCTCCCCTTTTGTGGATACTTCTATCACCTATTCTTACCATGACTTATCTCCTTCTATAGAGACTTATTTCATTTTACTTTAACTGGTTGGATTTGTAAACTCATCCATGTGAGTCTTACTGAAAGCCATTTACTGTTACCTTCCATCTGATTCAGCATATCATGGCCCCCTCCCTCCTTTCAGTGCCAACTGTTGGAAGAGATATCGGAGGCTGGTATGTTATGTAGCCTATTCTTAAAACATTATTCTCAAATTACTTACATCTCTTGGTGGTTTCTTGTACCTTTGGTTTTAATCTCCCTCTGGTCTCCATTCTCCAATATCCCAAGACTATCAGAAGGTGTGTTTTACATGTTAATTTATCAGCTCCATTCCAGCTCCATTCCTGATCTTGTATGATCTCCATGTCCATGAAATGTATACAGATCATTTGGTGCACATTGTCAAGAAAAAACATGGAACTACCAATCACTAAACTTGTGTTTGATGTCATTTGATTCTTTATTCTGCTATCCTGGGCTTTCTTATCAATGAAAAAACAGCAACACATATTTAAGATATGTTACATAAGAGAAACTGTTGGACAAAGAGTATTCCATAATTGAGAAGTATGTTTTCCCACTGGGCACTGCTCTATTAGATGACTCCCAGTCTCATGGAAGTCACACTCTATGTTCTTTCCATTTCTGTTGCTATTTCAGATAAGAGCCCATCTTTGTAATAGGTCGATACCCACCCATTCACTATCTTCAATGTGGTGCATAGAAATAAGTAAAGTTTCTGAAGTTGAATTTTTTTTTTATCTTTCCTTCATACACCACTTCCCACCTTTCCTTCACACTTCTGGTGCATTTTGTTTGCCTCATCAAGAACAAGCTTGTGCTAGTGCTCACAGGGATTACTGCACATGGAGGTTGTGTTGCACTCCTATCAGTGGAGGGCTACAACATTATGAGGACTACATCATTTTTTTTTGTTTTTATTCCTGTAAACTCCCATTGGAGCATAGGGCCGCAACAACACCTCGCCAACGGAAGGTGTTGTTGCAGTTACTTGTAGCAGGTTGGTTTTTACAGGGTGGAGTTGCTAGCCCCGCACCCAACCCTCCCCTTTTCTCATCCTGGACTTGGGACCAGGCAAAGGCGGAGGTTGGCATATTTGGTGTGATGGGGATTCGAACCCACGACCCTCAGCTTACGAGTCGAGTGCCTTAACCACCTGGCCATGCCGGGCCTAGAGGACTACATCATAGTTGGGCATATTACATATGGACACTTGTAGGGGTGGGAATTTGATCAAGGCTTGTGGTATGAGCAGAGATGTAACTAACTATCTGAAATACATTTTTAGGTAAGGAGAATGTTAACTTTGAATAATACACAAATTCTAACTTCTCTAGGTAAACAACTTGAATTAGAGAATGTTTCAACTGCAAAACTGAGCTTAGTTCTATAAATAAAACATCATAAAATCCTATAATAAAAACTTTCACTCAGAGAATCAAGAATTTGTATATTATTCATAATAAACATAGGATCTGCTGTTATTACATGTGTATTATACTATAAATGTTTCACTAGCCCAGCCAATAGCTCAATTCCAGTCATCAAATTCACTAGAATACTATAGCTTTGATTATCATTCTCAATACTGAATTTGGTTGTTTCCAGACTTCCTAAACAGTAGGATACAACACCAGAAATTATGGACTGCTTTATATTACTCCTAATGTCATGCGTGTGAATGGCAGGGTTGTTTTTCCATAAATGTTTCAGTGAAAGAGTTAATACTGAAACTCAATAAAGAGAAGAAAACTAGAATTTTTACTCTCTTAAAAAAAAAGAAAAGAAAAGAATAAATCCCTGCTTGTATGTATAAAATTAGCATCATGAGGAAGTATGCTACATACCTTGTACTTCTCATTTTCTGTATAAACTTCAGTCAGGATGAAGCATTCACATGAACATTTTCCCACGTATGGAAAAAGTCCCAATTTGAACATTCTTGAGGCTTTGTAGGCTAATGTAAAGAGTGAGAAGGTTAAAACAAGACCAATCAACTTGACTGAATTGTGAGGACTAATACAGAATACTTGGAACAATATCCTAGAATCATACGTTGATAAGTTGTATGGCAGCATGAAAACAAGGTATAATGCTCTTTATAAAGCAAAGAGCTCACGTATAAAATACTATGTAGTGCATTATACTACTTAACTTTTTTATTTTCTGTAATTATATTTTATACCATTAATGAAGTGACCATCTAGTTGTCATTAGGAGTTTGTGACTCCTGTACATGTATCACTTGTATTTGTTTACATAATTATGTCCATTACTGTATATACTTACTCAATCATAAGAATCTCCATCACCAAGATTTGAAGAGTAAAGGTGAACAAATAAGGTTTGTTAGGTTAGAAATAAACTGTCTGATTCAGACAGAAATTTTATATGTGGTAGTTGCCATTAGGTCATCATTCTCACTAATATGGAAGTAACATGTAATGAATCATGCTATCACATGTACAAGATTTTGTATACTTGGCAACTATAGATAAGTAAATGGAAGGAGAATGGAGCAAAGAGATTAACCAAAACAACTATAAGGTCCATATCTTGGCAAATAGTCAAGATTTTGCCATTAGTAATGGTGGTAGAGGTAAATATTTGAATTTCATTTCAAACTAAAATTCTCAATGTTTAAATATAGAAATAGTTTTCCATAATTTTAAAATTTCACAGATTTGACTATCGTACATTATGTTAAGTTAAATAAGCTTTGGCTATTGATACCTGCATTTTTTATTCTCATTAGACTTTGATGAAGATGACATGATTTCAGTTGAAGATTTGCGAGAAGTTCTCAATCGTCTGCTTGGACCAGGGAAAAAAAAATTAAATGAAGAGGACATTGAGGAACTCATTGACAATGTATGATTTCTTGATGTACAAAAGCTCTTTTAATATTAATGGTTTAAACCTTCAGAATACTGAATTTATGTAATTAGATCTGAAAAAAGCTTCTTTTGCCTAAGGGCTAAATGTTGCTCAGTCATTAACATGCCAGACAATGGAGTTGAGATTCCACATTTAATGTCCTATTACCTCCAAAATGGAAAAAAAAATTGTACACCACACTTTGGAGTTGTGACTGCATTATAAGAGAGACAGTCAAATCCAACTATTCAGTCTGATGAGTATCTGAAGGATTGATTTGGGTGATGTTAACTTGATGCCTTCTTTCTAGTTTATCACTTCAAAATTAAGGATGGCCAGCTTAGATAGGTCTTGTATACTTTCCACAAAATCCAACAAACAAAACAGTCTTTCAGTAAATAAATACAACATATGTACTCTTCATTTAATAAGCTCATTTTACTACAACATGTAGCTAAAAATTGTTTCAGAAGAACACGTATGTCAATAGATTTGCTATTGATATAATCAAGTGATACATCGTGGATTTTTTGCACATATAAATACACTTAGTAACAATCACAGATTATCTTAAAATATGTGTACCTCAAGTTTATTTTATTCATGCTTTTTCTTAATTGGGATTCCTTTATTTATACCTGTTAGCATTACTTTTATAATTTTGTAGTTAATCTGTTTTTTACCAAGCAAAAACAAATGTTTTGTTTTTCAGTTACTAATATTTTTTGTATTGATGATGTTATTTTATATAGAAAAAAATATATGAAACTCATCTGTTCCACCTTTCAAAATTTCTACCTTTTCTCTTTTCTGAGCAATAATTATATTTAAAGTCAACAACATATCTCCAGTAACAAATATTCCAAAATGTATTTTACATTTATAATATATTTGAAGGCTTACTTGTCTTTTTTTTCTATAGCCCTTTTTTAAAAGAACTGTTATATAAGATGTTTTCTTTAAACTGAGTAAATTTACTGAAGAGATGCAAAAACTTCTTGGTTATTGTTGATTGCAGTGTTTTCTTTTAACATCAGGATAATTCAGGAAAAAAAGGTAATTGAGTTACACCCATGACAAGCTGTGAACTGTTTCTCGGAAATTTATTTAGCTACTAGTCTTGAAACAGTAGAGAGGCCAGTTCTGAAAAATGTATTAATGTTTGGGTGTTAACAACCTGTGTGTTATATTAAACATTTTGAAAATTTGTAAGCTTAATTTCCAGGCCTGAAAGATAACATTGTAAGCCTGGAAATTAAAATGCCTTTTTTCAAAACACTACTATCCAGGAATTTTAAAATATTGGTAAATAAAGCATCTATATAACAATATTCACTGTCTATATGTCACTTAACTTCTAAATGGTACCAAACAAAACATTTCAGTCGTGAGGTTTGCACAAAGGTAGAATTATTCACTCCACCAATTGGGGAACTAGAAGGTTTTCCAAAAACCCTTCTGATAAACTGCTGGACTCAACAACTTCTAAGTGATGCCAAACAAATCATCTCAGCCCTGAGGTTATTATAAAGTAAAAACTTTTCACCCAACCCCTTAGGGAATATGAGTATTTTGCAAAAACGCTTTTATGGGGACCCACATTTGGCACTGGTTTACATTAGAACATGTAAATAAGTAGGCTTACTAATTACCATTTTTATATTTGGTTAAAGAAATTAAATTTGCATTGTAGCAGTAATGATCATTAAATTGAAAAAGGGCCAAATTAGTAGTTCAACATTAAATTTGTATTACAGTGACCCTGTAAATGTAGGCCATAATCCCACAGGGTTGCTAGTTTCTGAACATTATATTGCAGGCTCTGGCACTATCTTAGTGTAAAATTGAGTGGAAATATGAAGATCAAGGATAAGCTGTATAACATGTATGTTAAAAGTAGACTTTTATCAGCCTACTTCTGTTTTCCTACAAGTGATATTCTTATATTCTACCAATATTTGCTGGATTTTCAGCAGTTTATAATGACAAGGAAGATGAGATCTGTAAAGGAGATCATGATGGGTGGGTTGGGTTACTGAGAGCTAAATATTATTTTATTCTTATAGCTCATTTAAATTCAAGCTCTCAAACAGGACCTTGAAAAGGCCCTAAATCAGGCTTACAAATCTCTGGGTAAAATATCCCCTAGATTTACCTAGAAGTGCTTAGAGGAACTTGTTGGCTATCCTAGGTCTGTTAAAAAAAAAAAAAAAAAACTTACAGTCAGGGAAACTAAAGGATGATATATTTAAGCTTCAGGACATTGTCTGATTCTGATTTCAAATGCTCTTGGGAAGATTCACTTATTACCCATACATTTCAAATCCCTTTAAATGTTTCAGTTATCACAATTTTAACATTCTAAAACTTTTTGCTGTTGGTCTTTATCTGCATGGTAGTAAGACTTGTACCTCTCTTACTCACTATCATGCCTCATATGGAAGAGTCACTCTCAGTTGAGAATGTGAATGATCTTATTCATAGTGAGATGACTCTGTGGTGTTCCTCCAGGGATCTCTGAGGCTACAATTAAGGGTGATCCTCAATAGTCTGGAGAGAATTTACATTCGCCTTTTCCTGCGGTTTCTTTTAGTCTGTTGGCTTTTCATTCCCCCTGTGGGACAGTGGTGAGTTTACGGTCTTGAAACGCTGGAATCTGGGGTTCAATTTCCCCATAGCAGATATAACAGATAACCCCAACATTGCTTTACTTTAACAAAACATACTTACATGACCAAATAAAATGAATAAAAACCCTATAACCCAAGTGCTTTGGAAAGGTGGACCTTTCTTCTTCAGTGGCAAACTGGGAATGGTTGACCAAATGTTGTTCCAATAAACAGGATTTAACACAGTCTTTAAATGACATATGAAAACAAAAGAGAGGCCACTTTGGGATAAGCTGCCTTTAATTTGTTTTCTTCAGTTGGTTCATTGAGAGTGTGATGTTTTGGGTCTTTCCCCCAGTTGCTTTTGAGCCTGAACCTTACTTGATAACTGAAAGGCCTGGGAGTGAATTTTTAATTTTCTCTGCATCCACACACACATTGTGGTTTATGCAGGTAGGTTTTACTTTTCAGTTACATGGAGGGACAGTTGTACCTTATCTGACACAGTTGATGGAACTTTGTGATTTAGCCTACCACCACCAGGTAGAAGCATTTTCCAACTCTCAAATAATATATCTGCTCCTCAAATTTTGGGGTTCTAAGGCAGAGTTTGTAGTTAACCTAAATAGATTAATGTCCCCTAATGGGACAGGGTAAGTCTATGGTCTTACAACTTTAAATCCAACATTTTGTTTTCCTTTCACTTCACTTTGTTGAAAGACTCTCAGGATCACCAACTTCACTGATAACGAGCTGGAACCATTGTTAGCATGTACACTGGATTTCCCAGTTTCCTTAGTCTGGATCATTCTTCGATCTCGAGGGGTTGTTTAGTCGGGACACTACTAAGATAGGGGTTCCTTTACTCTCACCTCATCCAAAGTTCCATTCCTTCATGAATGCCTTGCTTCAGGTATGGGGTGCATATGCCAACAGTCAGAAATTCCATGGTCTACACACACTGTTTTAATCCTTCTGACTATTCAAAAGGCATGGTCTGGGTTTATTAAGGGGAAAATTGTCAGTCTTCACAATTTCATGGTGGTGTTTTGTGTTTCTCATCAAGGAGGCACTTGGTCCAGGGCTCCTTGTTTTTGAATCTCGGACCTCCTTTCTTGGGACCACTCCTATCATATCACCCTACTAGCTTTCCATGTTTCATAGGTGATTCCTGCAGGAGCATGTGAATTGTCTCAACCCAAACAGATTCTCAATAGATGCTGCACTGCAAGGTTCTGTTGGATTGACTCTGATTGGTGGGTTGGCCTCTCATTGGAACATCCAACTACTGGTAATTTGGCCTCCAGTACCTCATCTTCTGGATGCATTCCGTCGGAACAGGATGAGATTACAACTCTAGGCCTTCCCTCCAATTCATATGTTACCCAGGGTACTAACTATGATTTGTTCCAACCCATTGTCAGGTCCTGTTGATAGCACCAGATTGGCAGCTACACCCTGGTTGTTGCTTTAGCAGTACCTTCATGTGTGTCCACCTCTACCACTTCTCCTTAGGCCATCTCTATGCAGGCAGCCATGATCTGACGTGGTACACCTAGCTATCCAGAAGCTCGAGCTTCAGGCATAAAGTTTTGCAGTCTTTCGCACTGCATTGGGGTTTGATTTCTAAGGTTGCCATGTGTCTGTCTCAGTCTTTGCTTAGTCCCGAGATGAACATTTATCAACAGAAATGACATGCATATCGGCAATGGTGTATTAAGAGGAGGTTGAACCCACTCGTATTTTTGACCTGGCTTTTTGTCAAGGGATTTTGCATTTTCCACAATTTCCCTGTATAAGGTGGGCTTATTAATTACCAGTTGATACTCACAAATAAATATTCTTTGAGTCCATAGCACTCTCCATATTCCTCAAGTCACTATGGGTCCTTTGTCCCAAACGACCATTCCAGTTGCCTACCTACATGCCCTTTCTCAACAGCTGTTTGTGACCTGATTCTGATATGTTGTGTATCCCCTTTACCTGAAAGTTAATTTTTCATTGCTGCTGACCTACAGACATTGCCGGTGGGAGTGGTTTGCTCTGTTTACCCACAGACCGCTTTCTCTTTCTATCTACATTTTCAGACCGGTTCTTCTTACCCAAGACAGATTTGTCACATTTCTATATCCTTAGCAGCCAGGTTGACTTGCCCACTGGAGGACATCGTGTGGACTGGTATTTGGACCTCCCCCTATACTTTTATTTCGTGTTATTTGCCTGATCTGGCAGTATCTTCATATGGGGGTTTTTGCCTACCCCCTGTAGCTATCCTACCACTTCTGCTAGATTATACAGAGGGGTATAATTTTTCATTGCTCCCTTTGAGGATCCTCTACCTCATCTTTTCTTCACAGGATCACACTCTGTGGCAAGTGTTGTCAAAGCAGGTGTGATTTTATCAAAGCAATTCTGTACTAGCAACCACTAATTCAATATATTTTAAACAGGTTGCAACAGGCTCTTTAGAAATTAGATGTTCCATAAGACCACCTAGAGGCTAACCAGGTGGTATAATTGGACTATGCTGGACCACCACTCATGAGTAAAGCATAAGGGGATCCTGCCCATCATTAGATTGAATAAATTGGTGTCAGTTTGCTTTTAAACATTTACAGAACTTGGTTCACCTATTGCACTGTTCCTGAGAGCTCCCCAATGCACATTACCTCCCAGATTCAACTAGTGGAGCTAGGGAGTCCTTACCACACCCGGTTTCCAATCATTGGGGTGGTGGACAGAGGCTTTTCCTCCAGAGTGTTAGAGTGAATTCCTCCACTCTAGGAGAAGAGGGTGAAGTTGGGGGCCCTCTTACCCAAGTTCCTGGGTGTTTTTTCTACTCGCAATACCAGTTCAGATTTGATGTTTGGCCATCCGGTTGGATTGAGCGTAGCCCTTTTTTTTTATAAGTATTGGTTCAGTACATTGTACATAGAAGAGAGTCCACTATCTCTGCATAATTCCAAAGGCAGAGTGGTCCCATCCTGGGTCCTTGGTTGAGCACGGTTCCACATCCTCCCCATAATTCCGAGAGCAAGTGGAATTTACCTTGCCCACATGGTTGGGGAGGGAGGATGAATGTTCATAATTCCAGACTGGATGAGTTCTGTTTCCTCAGGTTGAGTAAGGCATACATGATCCTGTCATTCTGAGCCTGGGTTGTTGCCTTCTTAAGGTTGAGGAGGAAGTTTGTCCACTTCGGCATTGCTTACTTTCTCGTCATGATTCCAGTGGCTCGAAATGCATCACTCTATGGCTATAGGTTGGAATCCACTCATGTAGTTTGAGGTCCAACTGCCCTAGCAAACCAACATGGGATATAGTGACCAAGATCTCTAATTCCAACCCTGAGTAGTGGAACCTTGGTTATATAGTTGGGGTATGGCCTATTGTGATGACAAATCATGTAAAATTCCACCCACAATACAGGAATTAAGCTTCAGGTGAAGAGCATACTTGTTCTGGATGTAGTGTGGTTCCCCCACTAGGGTTCCAATCTGCTATTGACACACCCATGATCTATGCAGATGCTTTCCGTACGAATAGTGCCCTCACTGGCCCCTCCACCATATTAATGTGGGATTCTAGCTATAAATGTGAATAGAGGTATGTTTTGGAAGTTAAGATTTTCTTAAATCGAAAATGTATTTCCAATAATACTTACCTCATTTCACACTCTCCTGTCCTTCCTCCCTACTAAGAGCTGGTGTTGGAGACTGGGATTGAGTGAGTCTCAAAAAAGTGATAACATTATCTGAATGAGGGGCTTATATACAGTACTAGGATAGAGGGTGCATTGATGTAGGTGGAGAGTGTCATGAGATAAATATCGCCAAGGGCAATTAAATAGGGTATAAAAAAACTGGAGCAAGTGAGAAAAAATCAGACCAATGCTTAGACATGCAAGGAAGAAACCCTGGCAGTCGAGTAATAGCTATAAGTATGAGTGGTGGTAAGGAAATACATTTTTGGTTTAAGAACATGTTAACTTTGTAGACCCTAGGAACTGCCATGTGGGCCCCTAGATATTCAAAGACCACAGTTTGGGAACCTGTGTTTTAAGTGATAATTGCAAATTGTATTCAGTAGAACTGTTGAAGTTGAAATCTGTGCACATAGTGTTAAAGGTACTATCTATGTTTGTTTTCAGTGAAGTTATTTCTGTATTACTACATCTGTTACTATAGGTAGACATTTTCTATAAAAAAGTGAAAATGTACCTTATATCAGGGTCTCTTTTTTTTTTTTTTCATTCCACCTTTTGGTGTAAAAATCCTAAAACAAATTAGCCTTGTACACAGCATACAAAAAAAACTTCCAGTAATTGAGCCAGTCTGTTTTGGGTGATGAATACTAACACACACAGAATGGATCATCTTCATTGTAAGACGCTGGACCCAAAAAGTATATAAAGGAGGAGTTGATTCAATATATATATATTATTCTTGTATAATTTGAACTTCAGGTATTGTAGGTTGCCTTATCAAACTAGAATTATTTCTTTAGAAGTAGTAAACGGAGACTAAAAATTAGAAACATTTGTGGGGTATTAAAAAATACTGTATTTCAGTTTAATAGTTTTTAGGAATATTTCTTAGTACAATTGAGTTTCACAAAACTTACTTCTGGATAGTTCAATTAACAAAAAAAAATATTGACTAAATAGCCAAAAATTGTTGAAGATATTTCTTAGGATTAATCCAGTTGTACTTTAAGTAACTTTTGCAATGGCAAATGATTGTTAGTGCTCTAAAATTTTACCATAAATATATTCTATTTTTCTTGGATCATAAAGTAATCATGGAAAAAGAAGTAGTGGTTGTCACTTTTGAAGACTTTTATTTGTATTTTGAAATAAATTTATTACGTATTGATGCTATATTATACATTTTAAATGTTTGTAGATGTGATTATTGTCAAAATAAAAATAATTATGGTGGTTTACCAAGTAATTCATTAATATGACATCCCATTTCTTGTTTTACTTCTCTAAATCTACAGGTTATGTTGAAAAGTGAGACATTCCCAAATAAATTAGGAACTGGTAGTTAAACTTACATTACAGTTTATCAATAACTCGTTTAGTTCACAGTTTACAATAGCAGCCCTATCAGCTGTATCATGTTGGGTCTGCACAAAAAAAAGACACCATGCATGGCTAATCACATCGCACACACAAACTCCTTCGTTTCTTCTATGTCCAACAAATCAGTCACTCCTTCACATTCTAAGGCTTACAAACACCCACCCTTTCAAAGGGAGATGAATCAAACTCTTATATATATATATATATATATATATATATATTTATAGAATACAATACATTTTCTTTAATTTAATATATACACAAACTCAATACTCATTAATATTCATTGAGTAGAAAATAACTGCATTAGGTACAGTGTCAAATACAAAATAAATATGTACGCTTATGACTAAGTAACACAGTATATAAATATAAGAATGCCTTCACAAACAAAATTAGTAAGTAAAGACAATGTTGAAAGGAATATTACAAAGACAGTTACTTGAGTGTGTAATGCTCAATAGGTTGTTGGTAGAAAAATAAAGTTAAGTACTTGTTCTTACATTAAAAAGTGTTCACATATTTGATAACTTTTTGCTTTTTTCTCTGTCAACCTCTTTGTTACTGTTTGCTAAGGGATTAAGACATGGTAATTATAAGATTATTTTGCTTATAGTTTGGGTAAATGAGGTGACGTTGATTTTTTAAAAGAACAGCTCTATTACTACATTTGCAGGTAATGGCAGAAGCAGACCTGGATGAAGACCATTTTCTGGCTTATGCAGAATTTGAACATGTCATATCTAAATCTCCAGACTTCTTGAGGTAAGAACCTGTTTCTATTTCTGTATGATGACTATTAATGGGTTTAAATATTATTTTGGACCATACTTAAGCATTTTATCTGATGCAAAAAAAAGTTGTGTTCAAGTGAACTTGTATTTACTACAGAATTTGTAACATGTAATTTCATTATTGACAAAAATAAATTGAAAATTGTAATAAACAATACAATCTAGTGTTGTATGACACTTGCATGTCATAAGGTGTCTGTCCCATGACTTCTTACCTACTGTCTTTAGTTAGAACATAAATTTGATAAGAAGCATAAAGTGGGTGTATAAGCTATGGAATTGGGAATTTCTCAGATATTTTGCAACTAGGAATTCTGAAATTAAACCACTAGCATGCAATGGTAAGATTTTAATAATGTGGCATAACATTACAATGAGTACAAAAAACAAATATTTTATATTTGAACTGTGTTTTTGTAGCTGATCATCAAAATGTTTTACATTGACTTATCTTGCTTTATAATATGTATCTGACTTGAGAAGAATCAGTGACTGTTATCCTTATTGCTTGTGAAGCCAGTTCTACAGTTATTAATTTTGATGTTACACTTTTCTTAGCTATAGTTTGCAATTAAGATAATGGCTTATAATAGACATAGGTCTTTCCATGTAATTTTACATTGTTGTTGCTTTTTTTAAATGCTATACTTTCCAGCAATGCATACAATTTTGTAGGCTTAAAAATCATATTCCTGTGAAAATTATTATACTATATATCATGCTACTTCTACCTTCTGTTTTAAGAATCTCTGAACCTGTCACTACCTACCACATTTTACTATATTCTGTCAACCTAATCTTGTATGGTCACAGTTCTCTATTAACACTTCATACAATCATCCTCTGACTTGGTGCTATAACAATTTTATTTTAAGCCTATTTCAATCTGTATTACTGTCTTTTTCTTGAACTTAATGAATCTTAGTTCATTTTCCATTTCTAACCTGATTATTATACTTTAGTTAGTTTTTATGGGTCCAATTTATTCAAACAAGATTTTTAGTGTAATTTCTTGGAATTAGGCCCTGTTCTTTCTATTTCTAAAATTATAAGGTGATGTTCATGATTGACACCAAACAGGCTTTTGATCAACAGGACCTTCTTGTTTATGAAGTTCAGTGTGTGAAGTTGTAGTTCTTGCTAATGTTCCTTGGATGGCACTGTGTGGTTTTCAGTCATGACTCTTTCTTGGTGAGGCCAGATGAAGATGAGTATTGTGTGCAATGGGTGCAATTGCCCCAGCCCACCTGGATGAAAGGGTACCTAGACAAGGAGAAGGATAAAATAAGATTTAATCAAAAACTGGATGTCTCATTTTGCAACTGTATCAATATGATAACAGTGATTATATTCATATCATATAAACCTATTTTATTAATTTTTTGTTAACATGTTCTTACAGATTGCTTTTTAATAAATAGTTGCATGACCATTTAACAAAAAGATAAGTTGCCATCACTTTAGTTATTATAAATATTAGAATTATTATTTAGTATGTTATCTATCCCTTTGTTGTGTTAGTGTATTTAATAATTAGTATTGAATTGTATTTGACTTATGAAGCTCAGTTCTGATGGTTCCCATGTACAAAATTTTCCTTGTGTCCCCTGTATTCTTAATCCAGCCCCGCTGTTGGGTTGTCTGAAGAAAGTTCATTTTTAACAATATTGCACTTTAATTAATTGTTTTAGGGATATTTATCCTCCTCAAATTCAACTTGAACTGTTATTCACTTCTTTTCCAGAAACTGGGGATTTTATGCATTGATAGTGTAAGTTGCCATATTCCTTTGTTAGTTGGATCAAATATATTACAATACCTATGTTTTTTCTTGCACCATATTACATTTTTTTTTTTTCAAATATTTTTACTCTTGTATGTTGCTACATCTGTTCAATGTCTCAGTGCCACTGGTTTCCAAACATAGTTTAGTCATCTTACAGCATTAATTTGCTATCACAGTGTCTAGATTTTAAATCTTTACTCTTATTTGTTACTAGAACTAGACCACTTGATTCTTTTCTTTAGCAAAATAGTGGGTTTCATTACCCTGTTATAAAAAAAATCAATGTTTTACCAGTACATATTAATGTATTTTCTGGCTTAGTGTAATTGTCAAAAGTTGAGGTCATTCTTTTATATTCTGTAATATTAATTTTCCTCTACAGACAACTGAAATTAGAGATTAAGTTTTTTTTGTATGGTGCATTCTCCTTGTTATAGTCCTATCTTAATTACATAATTAATTGGTCTTATAAACTCGAAAGATGATTCGTTTGAACTTTAAATTAAAGGTTTCCATCTTCAAAAAAAAACCTTGCTATTGATTGCATTGGTTTATCAAGAGTCAGATTTACATGTAATCAATATTCAATACTCTATTTTATCATGGGGTATTGTACTTAAACCAAGAAGCATTTTAGGGGAAAAAAAGTTTCATATTAAGGATAGCCAGTCTTTTTATTTTTCATTGTTTTGATAAATTTACTAGAAATGACCTCTTCACTTGCAGATTTCATTCTTTGTCTAGTGAGGGTATTGCTGTATAATTTGCACAAGATCTTTCTTCATTCTTACAAATGTGTATTTCATTTTTGAGTTTCCTGCTGCTCCTGAGGAGGTGGTTCACATGTTTTAATTCTCATGCTCATGGACACATAAGTAATGATTTACACAAACGTTTTTGATATCATTTCATCAGTTAAATCCATTGGTAGGCTTGGAGTGTTTTCTCCAACCATCCAAATCAAGGTATCTGAAGGTCACATTTCTACAAACTTCACCATATTTATCTCCAAATTACTGATGAACACAATAGATTTTTAAGCTCATTTTTCTAAACTATTTATGCACTAAAGTGCTTATAGATTTTTTACTTTGTTAGTTGCAGGATTATTAACCACGTAAAAGTTACACAAGATACTGTTGTAATGGGCAGAGCCTTCTTGGGCTTATTTGTTGGAGTTTCAATTAAAACTCCCAGTCACACCAAATTTATTTATTGGAGGATTTTGTCGTGACGAGTGGAACTCGCAAGTTGCTACCTTGAGGTAATTTATGGTTAGAATAAAGAAACAGAATTTCAGACCAACATTTATCAATTATAACAACATTTATTACTCATTTCTAAATAACAGACAATATAAGTCAAAAGTACGTTAATCGTTATACACTTTCAAGTACCGTTAATCTAGACTTTCCATTAGAACATATAGATACATTTCTCTTAGTTAAACATCCCTTTAAGATCAATTACACTAACTGATTAAGAGAGAAACCATTTTACTTACAACGGAGCTGGACTGGTAAACTTGCAGATGTTAGAAACTTTCATAGCCATGGTCACGAACTTCTGAACTGCTGGTGGAACTTCAGAACTCTGGAACTGGTTTTTAAACCATAATATCTTAATATTCTCTCGACTTTCCAAATAGTATCCAGCACTACCCACAAGTAGTCCTGCCACCTTATTGGTTGATCTAGGGGAATTTCCGGGCTAACCCAAAACCATAACCAAAAACTCTCAAGTAATTGGTTACTGTTATGTTGAGTTAACCGGTTGCCTATCTACTTGTACTGCTACACCCTTGTCTTGTAAGCGATATCACCTCAAAGTACCACTTTTGCTTGTTAACTACAACTTTTTCATAGCTTTCCTAGTGCTAACAAGTTAGCGTTAGTAATCCATCACCTGTCACGGGTGCTCTTGCACTTACTTCGTTGCTAGGTGATACCTTTACGTAACTTTCTATACCACTGACCTTGCTAACTAAATTTTCTAGTTCTTGGCCTCATTTCGCAATTTTACATTTAAGTCTTTTCTACATGTATATGTTCACTTAAACTCGAAAAAAACTGTTATAACTTTATTCTTAAAACTCTTTTCAACTAACAAAAATCCTGAAGCAATTGTAAAATTCCTCAAAAATATTCAATTGCTTCACTGTCAGTAATGTTGCAGTTAATTTCACTAATGCTGTAGTCTCTTTTGTATTTTACGTAGAAAATGAGTGATTCACCTAATGTTTCTTCATTAATTCTTTACATGGCATGTTGGGACAAAACCTTAAAGTTAACAAATATGATAGAATACATGTCCACAGTAGTGAATGGCATGCAAATAAATTAGTAATTTGTTGGTTAATTATCCTCATAAGAAAGTTTCTGTGTGCTTTCTTTGGTTGTCTCCCAGTGCCTTCTTCATTAATTCTAGCGAGTCCTTTATGGCTCCATATTAAATACCTGGGTCCCTCTTGGCACTTGAAAAATATTAAAATACTACAACTAAGACTAGAAAATTGGGTACATTTTAATTATATGCCTAATCTTTAGGACAAGGTACAAATGTAAGTGTACATTTTTGATGCAATTATTCTATTTTGATAAATTTGTTGCATTGCTACTTGCAGCACCTTAACATGTTAACCTTTGTTATGAATCTGGTCTCATGTTTCTTAGGTACCTTGCACTTTAGAAATTGTATATTATCCTTGACTTCCAACTTTAGTGTTCTATGGTAGATGTGAAAATGTAAAGATTGAATGTTTCCTTTAAAATCAAGTCTTTTGGTCAATGGTGTTAATTTGGGATCAGTATGTGACTGGTATCTTCGCCTCAGCAGAAAAAAAGTTTGCAATGCTGTTCCTGTCAAGGTAATTCCTCAAAGTTTGACATTGCCATTTTTAGAGAGGAATTATCTTTACTACTTCCCATTGGTGAAAGATACCTCTCTGCTTTTTCAGTTCCACCTCTAATTTTAATATGGGGTTTTAGCTACATATCATAGATAAAAAAACATCACAATTCAAATTAACATTTTAGAAATAAAGTAATATTCAAAAAGTCCCTCATATCTAATGTACCACACCGAGGGATCATGGAAAAAAACAACTGTATTTGGTTGGATAAGTCCAATTTGGAAATCAATTATAGGTAATACAATGTAACAGATGGTTTGTCTGGAGATTCCAACTAGAAGACAGCACAAATAATGTTGTTTATAATATAAAATTGGAATGAGATTCACAAGCCATCACAAAATTTCAAAGAATTTTGGAGAAAGTGAGGTAAAATGCTTAATTACTAATAGGAAACAAAGAGAAAATGGATAGTAGAGATAATTTTAGTTCTAATAATACTCTTTTCTTCTACACAAATTTTTTACTTTGTCATGACATGGATGAGTGATGACTAGGGTAAGTTCAGAAGTCAAGTAAAATTGTTCATGTTCAATGAATTGTGAAATAATTGTATAAATATGTTTAACAACATTTTATAAAAAATTAAGTGTTATTCGTGCTGACATATCTAAATAGATGTTGATTATTTTTTTGTTTCCTGCTTTAGCTCTTTCAGAATTCGACTTTAGGTCATTATTCACCAGACAAAAAGCCAAGGCCAGTAAACAATGGGTCATGTAAAAATGAAGTTATAGCACTGATTTAGAACTAATTTTTATTGCTACTTTTATTCTTTCTTATGTTTAAACAAATTATATACAACATTAAGTAGAGAATTTTTTCCAATAAAATCATGTTTCTAATATGCTGGTTTTATCTATAATTTGTATATGAAACTCTGTCATTAGTTAGTTTCTTAGATCTACTAGTTTTCAAAATGCATAGAGTGGCTCCATACTTAAGATTTTATAGGAAGTAACTTAAGTATTATGTACAGAGATAATTTAATAAATAAATTTCATTTGTAGCATGTATGTTACCTTAAAAATCATTATGCCTGAGTTAGTCAGCATTAGTATAAAGATTGTGTGACAGTATTTGTTTTGTTGAGGCATTTTTCTCCACAGATCAGTTGCTATCAGTGTTACAGTATCTTTTATCTGAATTGCCCACAAGCTTCACTGAATCCTCAAGTTTCTAAAATACCCAGATCCCATAAACAACACTGTAGTTGCACAAATACAAGATCTGGTTCCTCAGCTTCAGAAGAGCCATTTTCTTTGTGGTTTTAGGGAGATCTTTCAATAGACATAGCCGAGGAAGGCTCAACAAAGCTTACTATAAGGTAGCTAAGTGTAGTACTGTCTTGAACTTAAACACTTCTGCTATTTTGTAAAAGAGTAACATGCTGGCTAATCCCCTAAACACTATTGAAAAACAAGTTCTCTTGGCAGTAAAATGTGGTTTATTTAGGTTAACAGATCAAACCCTTTGTTATGTTTTTTTGGTTCTAACTCGCATACTAGAAACTGTAACCCTACTGTAGCCAACCTTATCCTTCAAATTCAGTTTCCTTGATTTGCAGAATGAGTGTCAAGATAGGAATTTTTACAGATATTTTTGATACTTTATTTTTAGTAGTGTATGTTATATGTATATATATATATAAAAATTGAGAACTTTTATGGGTGAAACATGCATAAAGATTATTCAGTCGCTGTTATGCAGAGACAGCTTCTGCATGTTGAATTGTTTTATAGGTATACAGAGATTTTTCAAAACATTGTTCTACTGGTATAAAGATGACTGAAGTTATTGTTTTAATTAAACAGAAGCAACTGAGAGGATAAGTACTATTTCTAAAGTATCAGTTACAGTTTTTGTTGAAAAATTAAAGAAAGTGAGCTTTGAAACATGCTTTACCAAAATGAGTCTGTTAACAAACTGTCCAACTGTTAACTTTACACGTTTTTCAGTGTTTGTCATATCAAAAATCAGTCAAGTGAAAGAAGACATAAAGTAACTCAAACTAATAATTAATTATGCTATTTAAAGTTTTTGAGACCAGTGGATATTTCATGAAAAAAGAAATAAATAAATTGTGGCAGGAATTTAGATTTAAAAATCTTTTAAGCCTCAAAAAAGATTGTGGGGCCTGCAACACTACCCAGGTTACCCAGAAACTTTTGTTTCTCTTTGCTCAGAATAAACCACACTTGCTATCAGCATTATAGTAATTGTCACGTATGTAAAGTACCACCTCCAGGCTGAACTGCATTGGATGTAATCCTGGGAGTAAGGATTATTGTATAGAAGAAGAATCAGTTTATCTCTAACTTGTTATGCATTCTTCATTATGCAATTTATTGATGTGGTGGAGGTGTCCAATTAATATTACTTTCTTAATTGCAGGGAGAGGGGTGGTGTGAATGGTATTTTAGGCAAAGAGCTTTTGTGGAAGGTTTGGTAAAACCTGTGTGATTTGTCCCCAATTATTCTGAATAGTGAATAGCAGCACCTGGGAACAGTAATAGTGTATGTGGTATTGTATAAATTCAGTATGGAGTTTATGAATGGATAAATTGTATTGAAGATTTTATGAAAGCTGAATTTATATCTTAGTGGATGGGAAATCTGGATATGTTTTCCTGGTATCCCTGGCAGGTATCCACCACCGTACGTCTGATGTTAAACTTTGTAGTTGAATATTTAGGTAAACATTAAACCTTTGAAGGATTTTTTTATTTAAGTTGACTTTTGAAATCTTGTTTAGTGCATTTTTTTTAAATTAATTTTAGTTAGTTCATGTATTGTCTTACAAATTTTTTTTGCAAGTCTAAGTTAGAATGCAGCATATTTAATAAGCTTTTGAGCTTTATGCATTTTATGAAACTAACCTAGAACATAACCTGTTTACTGCAGTTGTATGTTATAAACCTTCGATGTATTAGGAAAAGCTTTTGCCTGGGTATTGTATATGTATATCTCTAAAAGTAATCAAACATAATATTTTTCCACCAATCTTCCATTGAAGTTATAGCCATTAAAATATTGGAAAAATGTGGAATAAGTTAAATAAAAACAATTTATCAAATATGAATTTCTCCTAAGAAATATTCAAACTTTCTTGTGAAAAACAATTAACTGAATAGTTGATTTCTTTACTATAATGCAGGCCTCAACAAATATATTCATATCTAGGAGCCAGATCCAGTATATTTGTGCCAAGGAAGGGTCTCTGATGTGCTAGAGAATTTTTGCAATTTAATTAAAAATTACTTAAGTTATTATCTATTTAATAAATTTTTAAGGTTTCAAATATTAAACATTTATGTTCATTGAAACAAGCTCACATTTCAAATTGAAAGTTTAGTCAAAGTGAGGTCAAATATTTCTCATTAAAGTATGTTTCAGTTTGAAAAATAAATGTTATTTCTTGCAATATTTGTGCTGATTATTTTAAAAACATTTGGTGTGCTGCAAAAAGTTTGGGAAGCACTGCAATATAGAAAAGTTATGGAATATATTTCACTACTGTTTGTACTGGGAAATGGGGGGCTATATTTACTTTCACAGCTATGAGTGCATGCTAATAACATGATATCAACAACCACTTGATAGTATTGCCTGAATTAACTGCCTCTGGTCCCATCAGAGTTTAAACACATGCACTCATTGGTTGAATTGAGAGACAGACGAAAAACAAAATGACATGAAATTAGTAATGTGTTGTGCAATGTACTGTTTCATTCCTGAAAATACATGAAGTTATGAATCTGCCATTAAAATTATAGAAACAAAGTTCAATTTTTGACTCAAAGAATGTGAAAATAGTTATGGACTTCCGAGATTCCAGACCTGTTCCAGATTTGAGCTCTATTTAGTACATCCCTACACACAAATAAAATGGAAGAAAATACTGTGTGTCACACTGAAATTTAGTTGAGGATTTGTCGAGGCCTGCTTATAACATTTGTGCTCTGTCTTAATTTTGGGTCTCCAGAAGTGTGTAAAACTTTACATTTGTCTTGTAATTGTCATTTACTATTTTTATACAACTTGGTTACTAAAATTTGCCTAGCATAATATTAGTTTTTTGGATGATTTATTTTGCAGTCATTATTCAGACACTTTGTATATAGTATTCTATGTTACATCATGACAATCCAAATAATTGTATCAAGCAATCATTTTCATGAGATCATTTTCTAAGTGTAGATATTACAATGTTTTAGAAGCTGTAAGACTAAAAAAAAGATTTGCCAAGATTTTTAATTCTCAACATTAACATTATCTTTATTCGAAATGGTCTATTATAATTTTTATCAATTTTCTAGGGAAAATTATGAAAAAAAATTGTGTAGATAACTTCCAATGAATTTTTTTAGCCACTGTTAATTTTTTTGCAGTGTGTTCTTTAACCATACTTGAATTACAATTGGCCTAGATGATTTAACTTAGTTGCAATAATAATTATTTATGTTAGCGTTCTCATAGACTTTTTAGAGCAATATTGGATTACATTGAATGCATATTGATGAAAGAATTCAAAATAGAGAATGTTATCTCTAAAGAACTATTTAATATTGAGCCTTTGTGTTTTTATTTTATTACATTTAACAATCTTACCTTGAAATTATCATTTGTGTCTGTATAATTATGTCTAGCTATCATCATTTTGTTGATTAAAGGTTAATTTTTCTGTTGTTGAGTATAAACAGAATCTAAAACACTTTGAGAAGTATGCTAATATTTTTTGTGAAAATAAATTAGTTGATTTTACATTTTTGTTGTATTTCTAATTATTAATATAATAATTAAGACAGCTTCTTGTAATTCCAGGAGATTTTTTATTATTATTATTATCATCATACTTGCTAAAGCATTTTTAATAAACTGAATGGAAAAAGTGCATCAGGTAAGTATTTACAAACTCTACATAGATGAACATTATCATTCATTAAAATGAAATTACAAACTATCACTTCTGCTTACTGGTTAAATATGGGGATGAGGATATCTCTCAACAATAAATGCTAGCTTTTTTTCTGGTCTTCCAAACAAATGTCAGACTATAGCTTCCCAAAATCATGTTTTGTTATGGCAAAGTCCCAATAACAATGTCTTGCTGACCTCACAACATTTCTGTCATAATTGAAACACATAAAATTGGACTTAACAAACAATTGCCCATTGTTGAGGTGTCCATTTGATGTGTTTGTGCAAAGAGTAACATCTTTCTACACTGATCCATGATCAATACTGACAATACAAGCTTTTGGCATGAAAGCAAAGTTCATGAAACCTGTTTCTTGGAGTTCAGATAGACATGAGTGCCTGCTGCTTACTTAAACTGTACATCATTTTCCAAAACTTAAGAGGTGATTTCTTGTAACTAATTTGGGAAGATATTGGTCATGTTTCAGTGTTGTGGTCTTCTTTGTGGTACTTTGTAGTGCTTTGCAAATAACATTCAGAGACTCACATTAATGACAAGAAATTTCCCACAACAGAAACAAGAGAAAATAAGCACTTCATTTTCAAACTTTTTAATTGTACTTTTGTATGGAACAATGAAGACATTTTCTAACCAAATTTAATTACACTTGAAGAATTTATGAAAACAAGTAATCAAAGAGAAATTAAAACTAATAGAATAAACAATTAGCAGTTGTCATTAACATATGTTTGTTTAGCTGTAAT